CACCACACAGAGACCCACAGACTCACCACACAGACCCATAGACTCACCACACAGAGACCCACAGACTCACCACACAGACTCACCACACAGAGACCTATAGACTCACCACACAGAGACCCATATACTCACCACACAGAGACCAGAGACCCATAGACTCACCACACAGAGACCCACAGACTCACCACACAGAGACCCACAGACTCACCACAAAAAGACCCACAGACTCACACAGAGACCCACACTCACCACACAGAGACCCACCACACAGAGACCCACAGACTCACCACACAGACCATAGACTCACGACACAGAGACCCACAGACTCACCACACAGAGACCCACAGGCTCACCACACAGAGACCCATAGACTCACCACACAGAGACCCATAGACTCACCACATAGAGACCCATAGGCTCACCACATAAACCCACAGGCTCACCACAGAGACCCATAGACTCACCACACAGAGACCCACAGACTCACCACACAGACCCATAGACTCACCACACAGAGACCAACAGACTCACCACACAGAGACCCATAGACTCATCACACAGAGACCCAAAGACTCACCACACAGAGACCCAGACTCACCACACAGACCCACAGACTCACCACACAGACCCATAGACTCACCACAGAGACCAACAGACTCAGCACACTGAGACCCATAGACTTATCACACAGAGACCCATAGACTCACCACACAGAGACCCATCACACAGAGACCCACAGACTCGCCACACAGAGATCCATAGACTTATCACACAGAGATCCATAGACTCATCACACAGACCCATAGACTCATCACACAGAGACCCACAGACTCATCACACAGAGACCCACATACTCATCACACAGAGACCCACAGACTCATCACACAGAGACCCATAGACTCACCACATAGAAACCCATAGGCTCACCACATAAACCCACAGGCTCACCACAGAGACCCATAGACTCACCACACAGAGACCCACAGACTCACCACACAGACCCATAGACTCACCACACAGAGACCAACAGACTCACCACACAGAGACCCATAGACTTATCACACAGAGACCCATAGACTCACCACACAGAGACCCATCACACAGAGACCCAGACTCGCCACACAGAGACCCATAGACTCATCACACAGAGATCCATAGACTCATCACGCAGAGACCCACAGACTCATCACCACACAGGGACCCATAGACTCACAACACAGAGACCCATAGACTCATCACACAGAGACCCATAGACTCACCACACAGAGACCCACAGACTCACCACACACAGAGACCCACAGGCTCACCACACAGAGACCCATATACTCACCACACAGAGACCCACAGACTCACCACACAGAGACCCACAGACTCACCACACAGAGACCCACAGACTCACCACACAGAGACCCACAGACTCACACAGAGACCCACAGACTCACCACACAGACCCATAGACTCACCACACAGAGACCCACAGACTCACCACACAGACCCATAGACTCACCACACAGAGACCCACAGACTCACCACACAGACTCACCACACAGAGACCCATAGACTCACCACACAGAGACCCATATACTCACCACACAGAGACCAGAGACCCATAGACTCACCACACAGAGACCCACAGACTCACCACACAGAGACCCACAGACTCACCACAAAAAGACCCACAGACTCACACAGAGACCCACACTCACCACACAGAGACCCACCACACAGAGACCCACAGACTCACCACACAGACCATAGACTCACGACACAGAGACCCACAGACTCACCACACAGAGACCCACAGGCTCACCACACAGAGACCCATAGACTCACCACACAGAGACCCATAGACTCACCACATAGAGACCCATAGGCTCACCACATAAACCCACAGGCTCACCACAGAGACCCATAGACTCACCACACAGAGACCCACAGACTCACCACACAGACCCATAGACTCACCACACAGAGACCAACAGACTCACCACACAGAGACCCATAGACTTATCACACAGAGACCCATAGACTCACCACACAGAGACCCAGACTCACCACACAGACCCACAGACTCACCACACAGACCCATAGACTCACCACAGAGACCAACAGACTCAGCACACTGAGACCCATAGACTTATCACACAGAGACCCATAGATTCACCACACAGAGACCCATCACACAGAGACCCACAGACTCGCCACACAGAGATCCATAGACTCATCACACAGAGACCCACATACTCATCACACAGAGACCCACAGACTCATCACACAGAGACCCATAGACTCACCACATAGAGACCCATAGGCTCACCACATAAACCCACAGGCTCACCACAGAGACCCATAGACTCACCACACAGAGACCCACAGACTCACCACACAGACCCATAGACTTATCACACAGAGACCCATAGACTCACCACACAGAGACCCATCACACAGAGACCCAGACTCGCCACACAGAGACCCATAGACTCATCACACAGAGATCCATAGACTCATCACGCAGAGACCCACAGACTCATCACCACACAGGGACCCATAGACTCACAACACAGAGACCCATAGACTCATCACACAGAGACCCATAGACTCACAACACAGAGACCCATAGACTCATCACACAGAGACCCATAGACTCACCACACAGAGACCCACAGACTCACCACACACAGAGACCCACAGGCTCACCACACAGAGACCCATATACTCACCACACAGAGACCCACAGACTCACCACACAGTGACCCACAGACTCACCACACAGAGACCCACAGACTCACCACACAGAGACCCACAGACTCACCACACAGAGACCCACAGACTCACACAGAGACCCACAGACTCACCACACAGACCCATAGACTCACCACACAGAGACCCACAGACTCACCACACAGACCCATAGACTCACCACACAGAGACCCACAGACTCACCACACAGACTCACCACACAGAGACCCATAGACTCACCACACAGAGACCCATATACTCACCACACAGAGACCAGAGACCCATAGACTCACCACACAGAGACCCACAGACTCACCACACAGAGACCCACAGACTCACCACAAAAAGACCCACAGACTCACACAGAGACCCACAGACTCACCACACAGACCATAGACTCACGACACAGAGACCCACAGACTCACCACACAGAGACCCACAGGCTCACCACACAGAGACCCATAGACTCACCACACAGAGACCCATAGACTCACCACACAGAGACCCACAGACTCACACAGAGACCCACAGGCTCACCACACAGACCCATAGACTCACCACACAGAGACCCACAGAATCACCACACAGAGACCCATAGACTCACCACACAGAGACCCACAGACTCACACAGAGACCCACAGACTCACCACACAGATACCCACAGACTCATCACACAGAGACCCATAGACTCACCACACAGAGACCCATAGACTCACCACACAGAGACCCACAGACTCACCAGAGACCCAAAAACTCATCACACAGAAACCCATAGACTCACCACACAGAGACCCACAGGCTCACCACACAGAGACCCATAGACTCACCACACAGAGACCCACAGACTCACCACACAGAGACCCACACACTCACCACACACAGACCCACAGACTCACCACACAGAGACCCACAGACTCACCACACAGACCCATAGACTCACCACACAGAGACCTACAGACTCACCACACAGACCCACAGGCTCACCACGCAGAGACCCACAGACTCACCACACAGAGACCCACAGGCTCACCACACAGAGACCCACAGACTCATCACACAGATCCCCATAGACTCACCACACAGAGACCCACAGACTCACCACACAGAGACCCACAGACTCACCACACGGAGACCCACAGACTCATCACACAGAGACCCACAGGCTCACCACACACAGACTCACCACACAGATCCCCATAGACTCACCACACAGAGACCCATAGACTCACCACACAGAGACCCACAGAATCACCACACAGAGACCCATAGACTCACCACACAGAGACCCACAGACTCACACAGAGACCCACCGACTCACCACACAGATACCCACAGACTCATCACACAGACCCATAGACTCACCACACAGAGACCCACAGACTCACCAGAGACCCAAAAACTCATCACACAGAAACCCATAGACTCACCACACAGAGACCCACAGGCTCACCACACAGAGACCCATAGACTCACCACACAGAGACCCACAGACTCATCACACAGAGACCCACAGACTCACCACACACAGACCCACAGACTCACCACACAGAGACCCACAGACTCACCACACAGACCCATAGACTCACCACACAGAGACCTACAGACTCACCACACAGACCCACAGGCTCACCACGCAGAGACCCACAGACTCACCACACAGAGACCCACAGGCTCACCACACAGAGACCCACAGACTCATCACACAGATCCCCATAGACTCACCACACAGAGACCCACAGACTCACCACACGGATACCCACAGACTCATCACACAGAGACCCACAGGCTCCCCACACACAGACTCACCACACAGATCCCCATAGACTCACCACACAGAGACCCACAGGCTCACCACACACAGACCCACAGACTCACCACACAGAGACCCACAGACTCACCACACACAGACCCACAGACTCACCACACACAGACCCACAGGCTCACCACACACAGACCCATAGACTCACCACACAGAGACCCAGACTCACCACACAGAGACCCACAGACTCACCACACAAAGACCCACAGACTCACACAGCGACCCACAGACTCGCCACACAGACCCATAGACTCACCACACAGAGACCCACAGACTCACCACACAGACCATAGGCTCACCACACAGAGACCCACAGACTCACCACACAGATACCCACAGACTCACCACACAGAGACCCACAGACTTACCACACAGAGACCCACAGGCTCACCACACACAGACCCACAGACTCACCACACGGATAATAATCAAAGACTGGCACAGATTTTGCATTGAAAACGAATGTATTTAAAACCAGTGAGTCTGCGTGTTTAGTTTGCTGTCCTTCCCGCGCAACCTCCACCCCTCCTGTCAAATCTGCACCAGCAAGTTTGCCTGCGGAGAGAGAAAGAGGGAGAGGAATGGGATGCAGGGAGGGGAGGGATGCAGGGAGGGGAGGGATGAGTCTCTCTCACCCTGAGACCCGGTCTCCCTGAGTCTCTCTCACCCTGAGACCCGGTCTCCCTGAGTCTCTCTCACCCTGAGACCCGGTCTCCCTGAGTCTCTCTCACCCTGAGACCCGGTCTCCCTGAGTCTCTCTCACCCTGAGACTCGGTCTCCCTGAGTCTCTCTCACCCTAAGACCCGGTCTCCCTGAGTCTCTCTCACCCTGAGACCCGGTCTCCCTGAGTCTCTCTCACCCTGAGACCCGGTCTCCCTGAGTCTCTCTCACCCTGAGACCCGGTCTCCCTGAGTCTCTCTCACCCTGAGACCCGGTCTCCCGGAGTCTCTCTCACCCTGAGACCCGGTCTCCCGGAGTCCCCCTCACCCTGAGACCCGGTCTCCCTGAGTCTCTCTCACCCTGAGACCCGGTCTCCCTGAGTCTCTCTCACCCTGAGACCCGGTCTCCCTGAGTCTCTCTCACCCTGAGACCTGGTCTCCCGGAGTCTCTCTCACCCTGAGACCCGGTCTCCCTGAGTCTTTCTCACCCTGAGACCCGGTCTCCCGGAGTCTCTCTCACCCTGAGACCCTGTCTCCCTGAGTGAGTCTCTCTCACCCTGAGACCCTGTCTCCCTGAGTGAGTCTCTCTCACCCTGAGACCCTGTCTCCCTGAGTGAGTCTCTCTCACGATGAGACCCAGTCTCCCTGAGTCTCTCTCACCCTGAGACCCGGTCTCCCTGAGTCTCTCCCACCCTGAGACCCGGTCTCCCGGAGTCTCTCTCACCCTGAGACCCGGTCTCCCTGAGTGAGTCTCTCTCACCCTGAGACCCGGTCTCCCGGAGTATCTCTCACCCTGAGACCCGGTCTCCCTGAGTCTCTCTCACCCTGAGACCCGGTCTCCCTGAGTCTCTCTCACCCTGAGACCCGGTCTCCCTGAGTCTCTCTCACCCTGAGACCCGGTCTCCCTGAGTCTCTCTCACCCTGAGACTCGGTCTCCCTGAGTCTCTCTCACCCTAAGACCCGGTCTCCCTGAGTCTCTCTCACCCTGAGACCCGGTCTCCCTGAGTCTCTCTCACCCTGAGACCCGGTCTCCCTGAGTCTCTCTCACCCTGAGACCCGGTCTCCCGGAGTCCCCCTCACCCTGAGACCCGGTCTCCCTGAGTATCTCTCACCCTGAGACCCGGTCTCCCTGAGTCTCTCTCACCCTGAGACCTGGTCTCCCTGAGTCTCTCTCACCTTGAGACCCTGTCTCCCTGAGTGAGTCTCTCTCACCCTGAGACCCGGTCTCCCGGAGTCTCTCTCACCCTGAGACCCGGTCTCCCTGAGTCTCTCTCACCCTGAGACCCGGTCTCCCTGAGTCTCTCTCACCCTGAGACCCGGTCTCCCTGAGTCTCTCTCACCCTGAGACCCGGTCTCCCTGAGTCTCTCTCACCCTGAGACCCGGTCTCCCGGAGTCTCTCTCACCCTGAGACCCGGTCTCCCGGAGTCCCCCTCACCCTGAGACCCGGTCTCCCTGAGTCTCTCTCACCCTGAGACCCGGTCTCCCTGAGTCTCTCTCACCCTGAGACCCGGTCTCCCTGAGTCTCTCTCACCCTGAGACCTGGTCTCCCGGAGTCTCTCTCACCCTGAGACCCGGTCTCCCTGAGTCTTTCTCACCCTGAGACCCGGTCTCCCGGAGTCTCTCTCACCCTGAGACCCTGTCTCCCTGAGTGAGTCTCTCTCACCCTGAGACCCTGTCTCCCTGAGTGAGTCTCTCTCACCCTGAGACCCTGTCTCCCTGAGTGAGTCTCTCTCACGATGAGACCCAGTCTCCCTGAGTCTCTTACTCACCCTGAGACCCGGTCTCCCTGAGTCTCTCCCACCCTGAGACCCGGTCTCCCGGAGTCTCTCTCACCCTGAGACCCGGTCTCCCTGAGTGAGTCTCTCTCACCCTGAGACCCGGTCTCCCTGAGTCTCTCTCACCCTGAGACCCGGTCTCCCGGAGTCCCCCTCACCCTGAGACCCGGTCTCCCTGAGTATCTCTCACCCTGAGACCCGGTCTCCCTGAGTCTCTCTCACCCTGAGACCCGGTCTCCCTGAGTCTCTCTCACCTTGAGACCCTGTCTCCCTGAGTGAGTCTCTCTCACCCTGAGACCCGGTCTCCCGGAGTCTCTCTCACCCTGAGACCCGGTCTCCCTGAGTCTCTCTCACCCTGAGACCCGGTCTCCCGGAGTCTCTCCCACCCTGAGACCCGGTCTCCCTGAGTGAGTCTCTCTCACCCCTGAGACCCGGTCTCCCTGAGTTTCTCTCACCCTGAGACCCGGTCTCCCTGAGTCTCTCTCACCCTGAGACCCGGTCTCCCTGAGCCTCTCTCACCCTGAGACCCGGTCTCCCGGAGTCTCTCTCACCCTGAGACCCGGTCTCCCTGAGTCTCTCTCACGCTGAGACCCGGTCTCCCTGAGTGAGTCTCTCTCACCCTGAGACCCGGTCTCCCTGAGTCTCTCTCACCCTGAGACCCGGTCTCCCGGAGTCTCTCTCACCCTGAGACCCGGTCTCCCTGAGTCTCTCTCACCCTGAGACCCGGTCTCCCCGAGTCCCCCTCTCACCTTGATAAACGACTCCACCCACTTGGCCGTCATCCCCTCCACCTTTTCCAGGTCCTCGATCTGAAGGAGGAGAGACAAAGGGAGGGGGAGGGGAGATCGCATCGGTCTCCTCGCGCCCGGGTGCCCTGCCTGGCTCGAGTGAGCTCCCCGGGCAGGATCACTCAGGCGAGAGGGGAGGGCTAGGGGTGAAGGACTCATCGGCCTACGACGACAATTAACTTTCGGCTTTGTCTGCTTTCCCCCCACCACTTGTCCTCCTCCTCCACCGACCCATCCATCCTAAACCCAAACAACCACCCACCAAAAACCCACCCACCCACCCATCCTAAACCCACCCACCCACCCATCCTAAACCCACCCACCCATTCATCCAAAACCCACCCATCCATCCTAAACCCAAACAACCACCCACCAAAAACCCACCAACCCACCCATCCAAAACCCACCCACTCATCCATCCTAAACCCACCCACCCATCCAAAACCCAAACAACCACCCACCAAAAACCCACCAACCCACCCATCCTAAACCCACCCACCCATCCATCCAAAACCCAGCCACCCACCCATCCAAAACCCACCCACTCATCCATCCTAAACCCACCCACCCATCCAAAACCCAAACAACCACCCACCAAAAACCCACCAACCCACCCATCCTAAACCCACCCACCCATCCATCCAAAACCCAGCCACCCATCCATCCTAAACCCACCCACCCATCCATCCAAAACCCAACCACCCATCTATCCTAAACCCATCCATCCTAAACCCACCCACCCAATCATGCAAAACCCACCCACCCATCCATCCTAAACCCAAACAACCACCCACTCATCCAAAACCCACCCACCCATCCAAAACCAACCCATCCACCCACCAACCCATCCACCCAACCCACCCATCCACCCAACCCACCCATCCACCCACCCACCCACCTATCCACACATTCACCCACCCACCCATCCACCCATCCACCCACCCATTCACCCACCTATTCACCCACCCATCCACCCATCCACCCACACATTCACCCACCCACCCATCCACCCACCCATTCACCCACCCATCCACCCACCCATCCACCCACCCATCCACACACCCATTCACCCACCCATTCACCCACCCATTCACCCACCCACCCATCCACCCACCCATCCACCCATCCACCCATCCACCAACCCATCCACCAATCCACCCACCCATCCACCCATTCATCTACCCACCCATCCACCCATCCACCCACCCATTCACCCACCCACCCATTCACCCACCCACCCATCCACCCACCCATTCACCCAACCACCCATCTACCCATCCACCCACCCATCCACCCACCCATTCACCCACCCATTCACCCACCTACCCATTCACCCATTCACCCACCAACCCATCCACACAACCCACCCATCCACCCATCAACCCACCCATCAACCCACCCATTCACCCACCCACCCATGTACCCACCCACCCACCCACCAATCCACCCATCCACCAATCCACCCATTCATCTACCCACCCATCCACCCATCCACCCATTCACCCACCCATTCACCCACCCATCCATCCATCCACCCACCCACCCATCCACCCACCCACCCATTCACCCACCCACCCACCTACCCACCCACCCATCCACCCATCCACCCACCCATCCACCCACCCACCCACCCATCCACCCACCCATCCACCCATCCACCCACCCACTCACTCACCCACCCACCCACTCACCCACCCACCCACCGGCCCACCCAGCACCACCTCCCCAGCACCAGCCGTGGGCGACCCACCCGAGTGAAGGGTCCCCGCACTGTCCTCCAGCCCTGCAGCAGCTCGGCCCTCTTCCTGCCGATCTTCTGCAGCTCCATGAGACAGCGGATCCCGCCATCGTTGAGCTTGCTCAGAATCCGGCGCCTGAGCTCGTCCTCGTCCGGCAACGGGGTCACCGCCACTTCGTCGCCCTCGGCCAACGGCTCGTCCGGCTGCCGGGGAGCGGGGGGGTGGTGGCGCTGGAGTCTCATCGGTGCCACGCGGTGTCTGTGCTGTGCGTCTCTCACTGTCTAGGTATGTGTGTGTGTCTCTCTGTGTGTGTCTCTCTGTGTCTCTTTGTCTCTGTGTGTGTCTCTCTGTGTCTCTCTGTCACGGTGTGTGTGTCTCTGTGTGTCTCTCTGTGTCTCTCTGTCACGGTGTGTGTGTCTCTGTGTGTCTCTCTGTGTCTCTCTGTCTCTGTGTGTGTCTCTCTGTGTGTCTCTCTGTGTCTCTCTGTCACGGTGTGTGTGTGTCTCTGTGTGTCTCTCTGTGTCTCTTTGTCACGGTGTGTGTGTGTCTCTGTGTGTCTCTCTGTCACGGTGTGTGTCTCTGTCTCTGTGTGTCTCTCTGTGTCTCTCTGTCACGGTGTGTGTGTGTGTCTCTGTGTGTCTCTGTGTGTCTCTCTGTCACGGTGTGTGTGTGTGTCTCTCTGTGTCTCTCTGTGTGTCTCTCTGTCACGGTGTGTGTGTCTCTGTGTGTGTGTCTCTGTGTGTGCCTCTCTGTGTCTCTCTGTCACGGTGTGTGTGTGTGTGTCTCTGTGTCTCTGTGTGTGTGTCTGTGTGTGTGTCTCTGTGTGTCTCTCTGTGTCTCTCTGTCACGGTGTGTGTGTGTGTGTCTCTGTGTGTCTGTGTGTGCCTCTCGGTGTCTGTGCTGTGCGTCTCACTGTCTAGGTATGTGTGTCTCTGTGTGTCTCTCTGTGTCTCTCTGTCACGGTGTGTGTGTGTGTGTGTCTCTGTGTGTCTCTGTGTGTCTCTGTCACGGTGTGTGTGTGTGCCTCTCCATGTCTCTTTGTCACGGTGTGTGTGTGTGTGTCTCTGTGTGTCTCTGTGTGTCTCTCTGTCACGGTGTGTGTGTGTCTCTGTGTGTCTCTCTGTGTCTCTCTGTCACGGTGTGTGTGTGTGTCTCTGTGTGTCTCTGTGTGTCTCTCTGTCACGGTGTGTGTGTGTCTCTGTGTGTCTCTCTGTCACGGTGTGTGTGTGTATCTCTGTGTGTCTCTCTGTGTCTCTCTGTCACGGTGTGTGTGTGTGTCTCTGTGTGTCTCTCTGTGTCTCTCTGTCACGGTGTGTGTGTGTCTGTGTGTCTCTCTGTCACGGTGTGTGTGTGTGTGTCTCTGTGTGTCTCTCTGTGTCTCTCTGTCACGGTGTGTGTGTGTGTCTCTGTGTGTGTCTGTGTGTCCGGCAAAACAACCCCCTACCTCCTCGCGGTGCCGGACGGGCAACTCTGTCGTGGACAGTGCTGTGGGGGGAGTTCCAATTTTGATTGGCTCCTCCCCTCATGGCATATGTGTCCACCACAGGGGCTAAACGGGGGCTCTGGACGGGTGCGAGGGGCTGGTAACCCCTCCACCTTCAATTAATTACCACAAAACCACGAATTAAAGTGAAATATGTAACAACTAAGCTTGTGCCGGAGGCCCCGGGGGGCCAGGCGTCTATGACGTCTCCTGGCCAAACCCCAATTGGCGGAGCCAGGAGATTGAATACCTACCCTCGGGGCTACTCCAGAAACAACGAAAAGCCACTACGGGTGGCCACGTGGAATGTTCGAACGCTCACTGCAGAGGAGAGGCTGCCACTCCTCTGTCGGGAGCTGGACCGGTACCGCCTGGATCTATGCGGCATTCAGGAGGTCCGGTGGACCGGCTCTGGCTCCTGCCACCATGAGGGGTGGACAGTCCTCTACTCGGGGCAGCAGACTGCCAAACAACAGGGTGTGGGTCTTCTTTTGAACAAAAGAATGAAGGGGGCGTGGGAGCGTGGCGGTGAGGTGTGGGAAGCTGTAAGCCCCAGGCTACTTTGGGCTCGCCTTCCCATCAACCGGAGGCGAGGAATGGTGGTCGTGGTTACTTATGCCCCCACCGAAGATGAACATCCGTGGAGGGATGCAGGCAAAGCCGATGAGTCAGATGCCTTCTATGACCTCCTGTCACAGGTGCTGGCTAAAGTGGCCCCTCGGGATAGAGTCATCATGCTGGGTGACTTCAATGCCCGAGTTGGTCATGATACTGGCACCTGGTCTGGAGTGATTGGAGGGCATGGGCCAGATCAGCTCAATAACAACGGTAGGAGGCTGCTAGATTTTTGTGCAGCCCATGGGCTTGTAATTACCAACACGCTGTTCCGGCATCGGCGCATCCACACAACATCATGGATGCATGCCGGGTCCAAGCAAGAACATCTGCTGGACTACATAGTGACGGACCAGCGAATGCGAGCCCATGTCCTTGACACCAGGACCTACCGTGGAGCTGATCTGCCCTCTGACCATCGACTAGTCATCTGTAAGATGCGCCTGCCATTCTTCCACTCCGGTGGTGGGTGTACACCCAGGACCCCATTCCAACCTAAAGTGGCCTGGTCTCAGTTATCTGATGAAAGTTGCAAGCGAGAATTTCATCATCGCTTGCGGCTGGGATTGGCATCGTCCCCGACTCCTCCTGATGTCGAGGGTAAATGGGCGAGGTTTAGGACTGTGACTCATGCAGCTGCAATGGCTGCTTTGGGTACGCGGTCCAGACCTCCCCAGACACCCTGGATGACAGAGGAGTTGTTCAGGATGGTTGAGAAAAAGCGACAGGCCCACTGTCATCGGCTACAGAATCCCACGTCAGAGAATGAGGAGGCTTACCGCAGCCTTCGCTCGGAGGTTCGGAGAGCCGTGAGGCGCTGCAAGGATGGGTGGTGGTCGCGGGTTGCTGAGGAGATGGAGTCTGCCTCAGTGGCCCGTGATCACAAATCGCTATTTAACTCCATCAAAAAAGTAACCTGCAGCGCCACACCTATTACCATCATTAGGGGAAAAAACGGTGATCCAATTTCCGACCCCCAGGAACAGGTTCGCAGATTTGCTGAGCATTTCTGTGAGGTCCTGGGGGAGGGAAAATCCCACAGCCAGGAAAACATCGTGGCACAAAGTGAGGATGACCCTGCTGAGGCTGCGGTGCCTCAAATATTGGATGAAGTCACCCCCTGTGAGTGGCTGGCTGAGGTGCCATCTGCTGAGGAAGTATTGAAGGCGATCCGGAGTCTGAGACCAGGAAAGGCAGCGGGCAGAGATGATCTCCCAAGCGAAATGCTGAGGGAGGGTGGCGTTTGTGCACAGACTGCCCTATATGACATCATAACAACAGTCTGGACCACTGGACGGGTTCCGCAGGATTGGAAGGATGCCCTGGTGGTCCCCCTTTTTAAGAAGGGGGACCGCACAGACTGTAACAACTACAGGGGCATCTCACTCCTCAGTGTGCCGGGAAAGGTCCTGGCAAGGATTATTCAGCATCGCCTTGCCAGGCACGCTGAGGAGAGGCTTGCGGAGCCCCAATGCGGTTTCAGGAAAGGGCGGTCCTGCACAGATGCCATATTTTCTGTCCGTCTGCTACAGCAGAGGTGTAGGGAATTCCAACAAGACCTACATCTCTGCTTTATTGACCTGGTCAAGGCCTATGATACCATCAGTAGGCCTGGGCTCTGGGTCGTTCTTCGTGCTTTTGGAGTACCTGACCCTCTGCTCACGATCATTAAGGACCTTCATGATGGTGAGCGGGCCCGGGTAAAACTACGTGGCCGGGAGTCAGAGCCATTCCCTGTACACCTTGGGGTGCGACAGGGATGTCCTCTGGCTCCCACATTATTTAACATCTATTTTGACCACGTAGTTCGTGAAGCCTTCAATAGCTGTACCGGGGGAATCTCCATATGGTACAGATATAATGGGAGGCTAATCGATGCCCGGGTGCGGTCAAGGGATGGCTCCCTATTGCTCAACCACGTTATGTATGCTGATGACTTGGTAATAGCTGCTCAGTCAGAGGAGGAGTTGGAGACGCTGCTGCTGAGACTGGAGCGTGCCACTAAGAGGTGGGGCCTTACCATCAGCCCCACCAAAACTAAGCACCTGCCTGGGTATTTTGTACCATCGGACACTCCACCCCCACAACTCCCAATCGGTGATGGGGCAGTTGTGGAGAGAGTGGAGAGTTTCCCATACCTGGGCAGTGTGCTTATGACTGGCTCCAGTTTAACAGCAGAGGTCTCACTCCGAATCAGTCGAGCGGCAATATCTTTTCATCGGTTGCGTAACGCTGTGTGGAAGCTACCTGGTCTGTCGCTCCGCACTAAGCTTCAGGTCTTCTCGGCCACGGTCATTCCCTCCCTTCTCTACGCTTGCGAAACGTGGACCCCCCTAATGGAACATCTTCGCCGGTTAGAAACATTTAGGCTGACCTGCCTACGATCCATCCTGGGTTTAACCAGACTGGATTGTGTGAGGAGCTCACAAATCCTTGAAAGATCTGGGCAGGGTCCCATCGGTGAGCTCCTCCGGCAGGCAAGGCTGCGATGGCTGGGTCATGTAGCCCGCATGCCCAGCCACCGCATGCCGAAACAGCTTTTGTTTGGCCGGATTGAGGGGGCTAAGCGGGCGCGGCACGGGCTAGAGAAGAGATGGAGTGATGTGGTACAGGAGGACGTGGAGCTGAGTGGACTTGCCGATGACTGGTACCAGCGGTGTCAAGATCGGCCTCTGTGGAGGAGGCTCGTGAAGGATGCTACTGGGCAGTTGGAGGCAGTCGCCCTCCAACAACAACGGAGGGCGGAGGAGCGACGCTCACAACAGCGAGCGGAGCGCCGGGTGGCTAAAGCACAGCAGGTTGGCACAGTAGGGGGCACAGGTGGTGCATCAGCCAGTCATCTCAGTCAGTCGACCCGTGGCACCTGGGTCTGCCCCGTGACCTCCTGCCAGCGGGCGTTCGACACTTCACGTGGCCTCAGGGTGCACATAGCCTGGCACAAGCGTCGTGGTGACGTCACCGCCACTTAGTGGCGAATGGCGGTTGTTGTTGTTGTTGTTGTCTGTGTGTCTCTCTGTCACGGTGTGTGTGTGTGTGTGTGTCTCTGTGTGTCTCTCTGTGTCTCTTTGTCACGGTGTGTGTGTGTGTGTCTCTGTGTGTCTCTCT